ACCTGGCAACAGTTCCAAATCAAACAAAAAATCATCACCAAACTAAGTCAACCAAAGTGATCCTGAGGTCTACTTCCTTCCCTCGCCCTTCGGGCCCGCACCTCTTTGTGCCCAAGGGTATGAGGGTCTTCTAACCTCAGACCGCAGTTACCGGCCCTGGAACGACACCCTGTCGCAAGCCTCAGGGGAGCTCCTGCTCAGCAGTGGAAACGTTGGCGGATGTGGATCGACGCGATCCCCGAAGCAGCCGTGACGCCAGGCGTTGTCCCGACGGGCCCGAAACGAAGAGCAGGGGCGCGCCGCCACCACAGACCGGGCCGCAGGCTGACGGGCACCGGCGGAGACAGATGCCGCGGTCCCAGCTTTCGCCTGTGCTCTACCTCAAGGCCCGAAGGCCGGCGAAGAAGACGGGGGGTGGTGGGGGAGAGGCAGACACACCTGGCGGGGACCCTCAGCGACCGGTTCCTGTGTTAGCGCGACGCCCGTCGGACGCTCCCAGCATTCGCCGCCGCCCCTCCTCCAGCCCCAGGGCCACCTCCACGTTCCGCTCCAACGTGGCAGCCGCGGCCCCTCCCTGCCGGCTGGCCGACGCTTCCGGGAGCGACGCCTCGCCCGGCCCACTCTGGCGCGCTGCCCGTCACGGCACTTCCGGGCGCGATGGCAGGCAGGGTCCCGGGCGCTGGGCCCGCGGTGAGGCCGGCGGGGACCTGCGCGCCTGTGGGGCTGGCGACCCGTTGTGAAGAGCGAGGGTGCGATGACCCGGGCACTCGAAAAAGAAAAGTCCTGCTGGGTGTAGCTGTCTGCTCGAAGAACGGCCGAGGCCCGCAGGAACGCCACGTAGCGTTAGTCCTGTGAGGCGTGGGCAACACCGGACAAATCACGTGAAAACGAGCTGTAGGGCCCTAATTGCAGTAACTAATTTGTGATTGGGTGTTTAAAATTGCACAGGTGGTTCAGGGTATTGCGTTTTGAGAACTTCTTTAAAAACCAAATGGTCTGGTCAGAGTCTGTTGTGGGGACGCCTGGGTGACTCAGTGGGTTAAGCTCGTCTGCTTTTGGTTCAGGTCATGATCCCTGGGATGGAGCCCTATATTGGGCTCCCAACTCAGCGGGGTCTGCTTCTTCCTCTGCTTGTGCTCTTAAATGAATAAATAAAACTAAAAAAAAATGAAGTCTGTTATGGACATATTTACTTTGTTACTCCAAAGGGGCATAGTGGAGTCAAGTAGTCCAGTTACCATCGTATGGTACTACTTGAGATCTACTAAGGTTTGCCCTTGGTCACTGGAACTTTACTAGCTCCGCCAGACCCTGGCATTTAATTAATGTATTGCCTGGATGTCGTCTTTAGTTTAGGGGTTGTTCTGCAGCATAGAAAGTAAAACCAGAGGAAAAGCACTTAGTATTACTAATGATCAGAACCTGGACCAAACCCAGGTCTACTAGAGCAGTTCTCTTTCCATTACACTGATCAACATTATCTCCTCAGGCCTTCTCTAAAGCGCCTTCACTTCTAAGTACTAGAGAGTAGGATTTTTGCACTCTTTTGAACACCCTTTTAATTTGAAAAGCTGAGTTTATTTTTCTAGGACAGAAATAGATTAAACGGATTACTTAGGTTACAGTAGCTAACTTCTAGTGTTCTACAAAGCCATTTCTACCTACAGCTTTTACCTAAAGGTACCAATAAAAAAATCCGACTTAAAAGTGGGCCTATCATTTGAATCAAGAGGAAACATTCAAGTCCTTACTACCCCAGACCTCCTACTACCTGGAATTGTACACTGGTATGGAGAAAGTGTTCATTCGAACAACTTCACCAAAACTCAATGATTCAAGCAGTGGTTACATTCTTTGGCATCATTTAATGTACATGTTCCTATTGCATTAAGTCAAACTACAAAGCTCCCTGCTCCTCACCCGCTTTTTTAAGTTGTGAGGTAAAAAAGGTATTTCATGAAGTAAGTCTCATGACTGGAACATAGCCACTTTTAGTGGTTTATGTATTGTCAATGGCGGTTTTTGTGCTACTTGGGCAAAGTTGAGTAGTTGCTACAGAGACCATAATAGTCTGCAAAGCCTCAAGTACTTACTGTATGGCCCTTTACAAGTTTGCCAATCCCTACTCTTTTAGAGAGGATTTTACCTACAGATGGATTAATACTCAAAATCAAAGTATGAGACATACAGTATTGTAAATTTATTTAAAAGCCTTGACATAATAGCATACAAAGGCAATATGCAAAATGTCAATTATAGGGACGCCTGGGTGGCTCAGTTGGTTAAGCGTCTGCCTTCTGTTCAGGTCATGATCCCAGGGTCCTGGGATCAAGTCCTGTATCTGGCTCCTTGCTCAGCAGAGAGCCCGCTCCCTCTGCCTGCCGCTCCCCCTGCTTGTGTGCACACTCCTGCTCTAATAAATATATTTTCAAAAATGTCAATTATAACTGATGATCATAAAGGTAAAGTGTATTTGTTTCTAGACTTAACCTATTTATATCTGGTTAAATATAGAGATTTCCTAGCTTGTTTTAAATGCAGGGAGTTGGGACTATGCAAGCTGAAACTGCAATCTTAATCTATGGGATTAACAATCTTGTTCCGTAACCTTAAAATCTGTCAAATTCTCTTGATGTTGGTTATAAACAAAAAATATTTAAAACAAACATTGAAAATTAGAGCGTTTTATTTACAGAAAAGTCTCAACAGTAGTTTGAATAGTGCTTGCTCTCTCATATAATTTACAATATGGAGCAAGAATCTTTTCTTCACCTTGGCAAATTGTCATACTCCTGAGTTTGGATCTGCTTCTAAAATTTTATTCTTTACGCATTCAACGTCATGAAATATCTGAGAGTTCCTTTAATGTGGTTTTTCACCTGCATCACTTCCTCTGAAACGTATTCATCCTTTTCAACACACAACTGCTTTCCTCCTTTATAACTATGTTCACCTTCACTAAATTCTCCTGGCTGTATATCTAGAGCTACTTCTTGAATCGCAGCAGTGTTAACATTCCCAGTCATCTCTATCTTCTAGAACTCCATTTACATTACAGCCAAACCCTGTGATGTTTTTACACAGCAGTCTTCTAATGTGCAAAGCAAGGACTGCCTGTGATTCTTGGAATAATGTGCAAATTTCACAGTAGCATCCTTATCTGAGCTTGCAGCTTCACCAGATAGTGGAAAATTAATCAATTCATGCCGACTTTGCCAACGACGAAACCAGCCTTTATTATCAGTAAAATGTTCTTTTTCAGTCTCCTTGTAGTTAAGCATTTTCCTTCAGTGCAGCAACTAACCTCAACACTATGGCTTGAATGCTAGCCAAACTGATTGGGATTTGTTTTTTATTAGAGTCCTCAGTCCCAAGTAGAAGTAAACATTCCACTTCAACCATACACGGCTTTCTGTTCCTAGTACAATTTAAACTAAAAAATGTTGAAGCAACTTTACCTAAAAGTTTCACTGAACTTTTAAAAGATGGTTCATGCTATAGGTTCATGTCAGCCTGGGTCTCATCTTGTCTTCACTATGCTGTCACCATTTTCAAATCTTCTAATGACGTCCAATTTCACTTCCAGTGTTACCACTTTTTCTTTGCTGCCCTGTCATCTTTGTTGACCAATTTCCTCTTGATTATCCATTTTTGTAAAATGTCGGGGGATTTATCACTGGAAAACAAGTAGGCAACACAACTACACGCTTTACTCTGTGTGTGAACTAATAGATGTTCAGTGATCAATCACCAACAGACTTTTGAAAGAAGTGATATAAGTGGTTACTGACAATCTTTTATATCCATAATCATTTGTGGAATAAAGAGCTACCAGCAAAGCTTATGAAACAATTTGGTTACTATCATGGTAACTGAAATTTCAACCATGTTGTAGGGGAATTGGTGTTATTTAACTAAACTGTGAAAACTGATCTTCACATATATTGGAATGATGCAAAGTAAGGACTACCTGTATCTAAAAAGAAAAACCTGTATTAGTTCACAAAATAAGTCAACTTTTAACCCAGTTTAACTACTAGTCAAACATAACTGTAGATCAAAATAAAAACCGAAGGTTTTCCCAAAGGACTGTTAGTTCCAGACTGAATTACTCATTGGAGCTGGAAAAATGTTTGGAGACAAAGTAATACATAATTCTTCATATTATGATTTGCAGACAGTCCAAAGACATCCTTTTGAGAATTTAGGCCCCCTCCCCTCATTTCAGTAATCTTGAGGTCTGCAAAAAAGTAAAGTTCTGGACAAATCTACTGTTGTCCAGGCTGTTAAGCTTCAGTCATCACAAGGCACAAGACTGTATGTGTTTACAACTTATTCCATACCAGCCAGCAAGCACTATGTTTACTTCTGTAACAATAGCATCCATCCCATTAATGTTTTAGTTTTGTTTTTGAATGCACTTATTTTGTACATCTTTTCATTAAGGCATATAAGCAAAGTTTACATCAACTTTTGTTTGTAGAAATTTATGAAACAGAGAATGTGTGTGAATCAATTTTGAGTATTTGCAAAAATTTTTCTCCTTTATATTCCTCAGATTTGAAACACCCCAAGACAACATGCATACCGACAGATTAATCTGGTATTAGATTTGAGATTTCCAGCTTTTGACTACCTACTTATCTACTGTTCTTGAATAAAGCTTAAGTTACAGGATGGTCATTCATTGGCATATCAAAGAGTCATTTATAGAACATCTAAAAGTTCAGCAAATTTAAACCCTGGAATATATGATCTCTAAGAATTTCAGGGGATGAATTACATTATTGTTTTTGAGAAAAGATGATCATCAAAGTTAAAAGTCCTGACCCCAGCCACCCAATTGCCAATCCTGAATCAAATCTATTGATTTAGAAAATTATCTTTCAAAGGTGAAATAAGGGGGAAAAATTCAAGTATGATACCCACATTATGCTCACATATTGTTTGCTGATACCTGATTTTCTCTGTTCGTCAAAATTAATTAATAAACCTCTTACCTTACTATATAAACGTTCACATTTTTTATCAATCTGACAAAATGATGTTCTTTATGAAAAACCCTCAATTTCATTCCTAAAAGGGAAAACATTAATAAGTAAATCAACATACAGAAACTATAGTCTTATCTATACTTTTTTTCTCCCACTATGATTTTCTTTTTCCATTATGTCCTCATCCACATACATTAATCACAACAAATCATGATGTGAACAGCAGTGGAAAAAGTTTAATCATTGGACATTTATATTTTTTTCCTATTTTCAACTTAAGCTGTAATCATAAGGTTTCCATGGTTTAGCCCTTTTTAAAGAATACACATTTCTATAAATTTTTATTCTCATAAGCAGATTAAGACCTCCAATTTTACTATCATTGGAAAAAAAACTCATACCAAAGATAATTTCAAGTGTATTATTTATCTATTTTGCATAGATTACCTTATGCTAACTTAGAAATGTATTCTCAACATTAAGCTTGACATGGAAAGGATAACTATAGCTTAATACATTCCCAAACTGGTTATATCTTGTTTTATATGTAATGCTTTTTGTTATTTGACAAGGTTTCCAATCATTAGAAGCACATAAGCTTTAAAGGAAAAGGGGGAGAGTTGTCACTCCTAACAAAGCAGTGATAAAGGGAAAAGAAGACTCCAAAGATTACAAATCCTTGGCATTAATTAGAATTCTGCCAATTATGGGCATTCTGATTGCTTTGCCAAGTCTATATTTTGCTCATTAAGAGAGACAGAAGCCCATGGGGGGAGGGGAGCAACAGAAAGAAAAGGAAGTATGGGGTGCCCGGGTGGCTCAGTCAGTTTAAGTGTCTGACTCTTGATCTCAGGGTTGTGAGTTCAAGCCCTGTGTTGGGCTCCATGCTGGGTGTGGAGCCTACTTAAAAAAAAAAGAAATGTATACTCACCATATTGGATAAATATCAAGCTTTTGAGGAAAAGGACACAAAGTGCCTAAAGCTGCTGCTGCATATTTATACCTTTATTCCATCCTATGTCAAATATTTGCATAAGTGCCTTTAAATAATTGGACTATGTTCCTTCAAAAACTGGAAACAGAAATTTCAACCTAAGTCAGTCTGCATCCCAAGCAAAATACCAGGAGTACTTATATCTATAGTCTTCTCTAGCCACCTCCACCTAGGAAGAATTGGGAAAAGGGAAATTGGTCCAAGAAAAATATATATGATCAAAGTAGAGTATTCTAGCTATAAAATGAGCTTTCTTATACAATCCTTAGCAAATTTCCAAAAGGAATGTAGCATCACTTATGGAATTTATATATTCATGGCCAAGAAACTGTGCACCTTAGAAAAGAGAGCACTTATTTGATACATAGGCTCTCATACTTCTAATTATCTGACGAAATATCAAACTCTTGATTCAATAAATTGAAGCAGTTAAAAAAAAAAAAAAGTCAAGTGTGGTAGTTGACCTCCAAGAGGATCCCCAATAATCCTCCACCCTTGGTATTCACACCCTTGTATGTGCCCACCTCCATGTTGTCTTGGCATTTCTCTCTTGGATCATTCCCTCTGGTGGAAGCCAGTTGTCATGTTGTGCGGATACTCAGGCAGCCTATGTTCACATGGTGAAGAACTGGTCTTTAGCCAACAGCCATCAAGGAACTGAGGCTTGCCAAGTCAGACTCTGGAAAACTGATGTCTCTCCGCTTCACCCTCCTCCCACTGTAAGATAAGTGTTTATTGTTGTAAACTACTAAGTTTTGGGTGATTTTTACATAACAATAATACAGAGGGCCACAATCCATATTCAAAAAGTAAAATGTAGGGGTGCCTGGGTGGCTCAGTTGGTTGGGTGGCCAATTCTTGATTTTGGCTTGGGTCATGATCTTGGGGTCCCGGGACAGAGCCCTGCGTTGCACTCTCCACTCAGCTCTTCCTCTCCTTCCCCCGCCCCCGCTGCCGCTTGCAGTTGCACGGGCTCTCTCTCACTCTCTCTCTCTCAAAAATAAATAAAATCTTTCTTAAAAGAAGAGAGAGAGAACATGCACATGAGAGAGTGTGAGAGAACAGGAGCAGGGGAAGGGGGAAGGGGAGAAGCAGACTTCCCACTGAGCAGGGAGCCCAATGTGGGGCTCAATCCCAGGACCCTGGGATCATGACCTGAGCTGAAGGCAGACGCTTAACTGACTGAGCCACCCAGGTGCCCCTAAATAAATACACCTTTTAAAAAAAGGTAAAATGTACAACTTATGAACTGAAAAGATCTGAAATTTTGGAGAAAGGATCAGATTCAGAACAGTTTTTTACAGTTGGTCATCAATAATTTCCAAACCCCAAGGCTTTCTGAACTGAAAGGATGAAAAATTCTGCAAGAATGTTACTAGAAATACACTTTAATATATTGGGGCAATAAGGGTTCTAGTAGAACTAGCTAAGGAATCCGACAAAAGGGTAGGTGTTCAACAAGGAAGATACCAGTCTTAGAAAGCAAAAAGTCTATTTGCTTTCGAGGTACCTAGGTGGTTCAGTTCATTAAGCCTTTGCCTTCGGCTCAGCTCCAGTCATGACCTCGGACCTGGGATCTAGCTCTGCCTTGCTCCTCCCTCTGCTGGGGGGGGGGGGGGTTCGGCTTCTCCTATACTCTAGGAGCATCCTCTAACAGCCCCCACCCCCTCCCTGTCTCTTAAATTAAAATAGTCTATTTGCTTTCATATGGTTGTTGTGAGAAACAGTGTAAGAACAAAACTGTGTGTATAAAATGCTAGCACAATGCCTGACATATAATGGTTCAATAACCATTACCTGTTATTTTTTCCCCAAGCTACCGAATTAATGAGATTCTATAACAGGAAATTATATTTCACCAAAGCCTTCACAAATCTTTACTTGGACAATCCTCTATTTCCAACTCAGTACTATTGTTCCAGGAACACTTAGTACATTTAAAACAGAAAGATATACTGATACACTACCTCCCCTGTATATTTGGAGTAATTATCTTCCAAGGCCCAGGAATCTTTTTCCAACATCTCCAAGAATATTAATTCCTGAAAAAAGGTATTTTAAATTACATTGCACAATGGTCAATGCCTTTTACAATAATACCTTTCATACAGCTTACATATCCTCATTTATATATTCAATAATCACAACGGTTCATTATGTGAACAGCAGTGAAAAGGTTTAATCATTGGATATGAAGTTATTGGAGGAAGCAAAGATAATCAAATGATCAAATTGAGAACCTCAGTGTCACCAGTAAAATAGCAACAAAAATGTAAAAGTTATAACCAAATATAAAGATACATAAATACAACTCAAAAAAAATTACACATTTATGAAGGATTGCGTATTTCCCTATCCAGAAGTATGCCCTAAAGAATACCTAGGGCAGTGACTCCTCGTGGTTCCCATAAAGTGAGTTTTTCATTTAATCAGTCTACACCATTAAAGTAAATCTGTTTTGGGGTGCCTGGGTGGCTCAGTCGCTGCGTCTGCCTTCGGCTCAGGTCATGATCCCAGAGTCCTGGGATCAAGCCCCACATCGGGCTCCCTGCTCGGCGGGAAGCCTGCTTCTCCCTCTCCCCCTCCCCCTGCTTGTGTTCCCTCTCTCACTGTGTCTCTATCAAATAAATAAATAAAATCTTAAAAAAAAAAAAATAAATCTGTTTTGCAGCATAGCAGTTTTCAGTAACTCGTTTGTACGAGAATGCCTTGAGAATAACGTTGAGAGCCACAGTTTCATCTTTCCTAGGACAGCCACAGTATCTGGAATCCAATTAAGCAGAAAGAAAAGCCCTCTTTTCCTCCGAACCCATGATGCTTAACTGGCTGCAGGGGTACTTTCAACTAAAGAAAATGAAAAATGAGAGCCTCCACCTGGGGCTACCTCCCCAGCTCCACCCACATGCCCTCAGGTGCTCAACAGGTTATACCATTTAGCAGCCCATTATTATACTCCGAGCTCCACTTCTATCTGTACTGTCTAGCATCCACCAGCCTCATTCTTTTAATATACCCTACGGCAGTCTCCACTTAAGTTACCTTGCAGGGAGGGGATGGGAGGTCTTAGGAGTACTTCCCCAGGTACTGATCACTATTTTAGAGATTATCAAATTGCATAGATTTCGAGTAATCAATGCTAACTTTCTTTTTTTTTTTTTTTAAAGATTTTATTTATTTATTTGAGAGAGAGAATGAGATAGAGAGAGCACATGAGAGGGGGGAGGGTCAGAGGGAGAAGCAGACCCCCTGCCGAGCAAGGAGCCCCATATGGGACTCGATCCCAGGACTCCAGGATCATGACCTGAGCCAAAGGCAGTCGCTTAACCAACTGAGCCACCCAGGCGCCCAATGCTAACTTTCTTTTTTCCCTATAAGCCCTGCTTCTTTCAGATGCACAATTTTTCTGAGCAGAGGTATTTTTCAGAAACACGTATGTTATGGAACATACTTTATCTATTTGTGTGCCAGAGATTGTGAAGACAAATTCACCTTAGACATTGCCTCTACACTGAAGGAGCATCCTCTAGCAAGTTCCCTACAAACCCCAAGTCCTTAAAAATTGGGCAACCACCACAATGAAGTACAACTTCACACTCGCAAGAACGTGGAGAAAATGGAATCCTCATCCACTGCTAGTGGGAATGTAAAATGGTCCAGCCACTTTGGAGAAACAGTTTGACATATCCTCAAGAGTTTAAACGTAGTTAGCATATGACCCAGCAATTCCACCCTGAGGTATATACTCAAAAGAAATGAAAACATATGTCCACAAACTTGTACACTAACGTTCACAGAATTATCCATAATAGCCCCCCCATAATGGAAACAACCCAAATGTTTAACTGATAAATGGATAAATAAAATCATGGCAGTATATCCATACTTTTGGCAATTAAAAAAAAATGAAGTACTGATACCGACTAAAATATGGATGCACCTTAAAAACATTCTAAGTGAAAGAAACCACAAACAAAAGACCATGTATTAGTTTCTGATTCCATTCATAAGAAATCTCCAGTATAGGCAAATCTACACCAAAAAAATTAGTGGTTTCCAAGAACTGAGGGTAGGGAAGATAGAGGGAGTGAATGTTAATGAGAATGGGTTTTCTTTTAGCAGGGGCGGGGGGGTAAGGGTGGTTATAAAAATGTTCTAAAACTGATTGTGGTGATGGTTGCCCAACTCACGAATATACTAAACCCCACTGATTTGTACACTTTATGTAGGTTAGTTGTATGGTATGTAACAGTCAGTAAAACTCTTACCCAAAAAACTGAAGCACCAATTTTTTTCTCTGTAGTAGAAAATTTTCTCTCTAATAGAAAATTTTTCTCTCTACTTAGCCTTATTTGGGTCTTAATTGGTTGAGTATTAGAAAAGTTTCTAATAGTCTAACAAACTGAAGGTGAATTAAATCCAGGTCCTACCCTTTGCACATATAACAGCCAACCAAGCACATCCCCATGGATCAATTTCCCCCAAATTCAGGACTATCCTTAGGCCATGTGACTTTAAGAAAACTACATCTACAAAAGCTCTGTTAATTTCGTTCAAGCAAGATATAAGCATATTATAATGCAAAAGTGGATGTGAGTAAGTAATACCTTTTTGGCAGGAATCTGGACTAAGTAAACAAAAAGGGGAAAAAGAAGCAATCTGGCTTGGAAATGTTGGAATCACTCTTGCCTGCTGGAGAAGGAAATGAACAAATTGAATAGAAAGTACAAACATTTTTCTGTTTCCTTAATGGGCCTCCAATGTTTAGCAGGAGAGAAAGAAGCCATTTAATATGCTAAACATCTCCAAAGATACAAAATAAACTACGCCCCATTTTGGTCCCAATTTATTTCGTCTATGAAAACTTAAATCTCATGCCGTAAACTTACACAAGACATCATTCTAAGGCCTTCTCACTCCTTGAAAGTTATCCATGATGCCCCACATCCCAACCAAAATCATTTCATTGTCCCTTCCTTCCTCGTACTACTACTGACGAGTCCCCACTATACAAGTGCTACCGCCAAGAGCCTCAAGCGCCTTACCTTATTTCCTTTTTAATTCCCCCATAGTGACAAAGGGTCTTGTAGAAAAGGGTTCGTTGAATTAAAAGCCGACGTATCCTCATATTCACTCTCATTCAAGCTCCTCCGGGGTCACTTATCTCAGGCCAACCATACCAACAGCTCCTATATTATTATCTCCACATCAAGGAACTACCAAATAAAACGCAAGGAAATGATATGCCTCTCAGTAAATAATTTATTTTGGTCCCAATTTTGTCTTCAATATTTCTAGGGCACCGCGTTTATTCCTCTCCCATCTCTTCCCCCAGCCATATCCTCCAGTCACTTTCTGAGCTCGCACCGGAGACCTATCCGCATGCCCCTGGATTCGCCTCAATTTTGCCCTTGCCTCTTCGCTTCGCATTCTCAAGCTCTGTCTCACAAGAACCCCGATGGCATCGGATGTAACCAGATGGGGTCGAAACAGGAGGAAAACGAGGCCATCAACAACTAAAGCCACTAACCACCCTCGAACAGAGAGGGAGGAGCTGTCAAGTGCTCGTCTTAATGCCCCGGTTTTTCCGATTGGCTGCGGCGGCGCGACGTGGCCTGTGATTGGTCACGACGTCAAGCGCAGCGCCCACGAAGAGGAAGGGTAGGAGTCTTGCGCCTTAAGAGCCCGCCTTTTCCGACAAATAAAGGTCGTAGCCGCCGAGCCCACGGGCGGAGCTAAATCTGTCGCGATTAATGCTGTCACGGGAACACCCAAAGTGGAGCCCCACGTAGCAAGATGACCCGAAGTTGCTCGGCAGTGGGCTGCAGCACCCGGGACACCGTGCTGAGCCGGGAGCGCGGCCTCTCCTTTCACCAGTGCGTGAGAGCAGCCTCCGGCTGTCTAACTCCCAGCACGGCCTGGCGGGCAGTAGGCCAGGGTGGGGCGGGGCCGGGCGTGCGTCGCGCCGTTGACGTGACGTGGCGTGACGTGCGTAGCGTGGAGGAAAGGAACGGGGGAAGTTTGAGAGTTAAGGTTATTCCTGCTGTTCCTGCACATTGTTTACCTCTAAGTTGCTGATTCTTTCTCGTTGCCTACCGCTTACCTAATGGCTTTTAGCGGGGGTTATTCGAAAGGGGGTTATTCGACCTTTCGGTCGTCTTATTATTTAACGTGAGACGGGAAAGGAGGGCAGTTTGGGAGAACTGTCGAAGGTGTTCGATTCCATTAGAGTGTGTGGCTTGCTCACGAGAATGAGTGTAGATGAGTTTTCACCAGTACTGCCTGTCATTGCAAGTTACTCTGTAGAATTGACTGAGCTCTACAAGGCCGGCCAGAATGGCTGCATCTGGTCATGGCAAGAAGTTTCATTTGGCTCCAGAGTGGGGCAGATTTTCAGAGCAGTCTAATTTAAACACACATCTGTAGTCCATCTGTGATATATATATATCATTCAAATCAAAGTTTAAGGCACAATGGGAAGTAGAAAAGTGAATAAAACAGATTCTCACAGACAAAAAATGTACTTCAAAAAGAGGTAGTCTACTAAGGTAATAGGAGATGTAGAGAGTTAAACCATTGACAGAGGACTTTATGAGAAGATCAAAAAGAGCTTTATGGGACAGGTGGTATTTGAATTGGACCTTGAATTTAATCGGGGCTGGGAGTTAGATAGCACTTAAATAGGAATAGTATGGACAAACGTAAAGGGAAGGGAAGTGCAGATAACCAGAGGAGTGGGAAAAGTAGCTTGAAGACATTTAAAAAGAAAAGGTTAAGGAGTTTCAACTATGTGTGGTAGGCCTTTTGTAGTCATTGTTTTGTTTTGTTTTTTTAAATAGGGCTGATTCCTCCAACTAAGCTGTTGTAATTGTATTTTTTTTTCCTCCTTAGGGATTTTTCCCCATCAATTTGTTCCTGTTCTCATTTTAAACTGCTCTCTCTGCTGATCACTTGTCTAAGTCAATGAGCATGCTCACATTGCTTCCATTTTTAAACAGACTCACAAACTCTTGAGCCGATGTGCACAACTGCACTACCCTACCACTCCTTCCCTCTATAACCAGGCTCCTCAGAACAGGAGCATACACCTATTTCCCCAAGTCCTATTGACTTTTCAAGCTATTGTAGCCAGATACCTGTCACTACTGCTCTAATGCACTGACAAAGGGTCACCAGTAATCTTCCCAAATCTAAGTGAGCTCTTCTAAATCCTTCTCTTGACCTCTTTTTAACTTTTAATCATATCAGCTACTCCATGAAACTCTCACCTCCATTGATTTTATTGACACTGTGTCCCTACTTATCTCGTTTTTCTCTAATTTTTCAATTTTTTGCTGCCATGCTTTTCTTATGACTTCTTAGGTTCTTTAAATGAGGAAGAGTTCGTTTATTGCTTTTGTTTATTTTATATATTGAGGACCAAAGTAAGACCTGCTTAATTTTAAGAAAAGAAAGTGATGTAATTATTACAGTAGTCTGCTATGATTCTTCCAGGCTGATTTCTTCCCCATTCATTCCACTTTCCTGATTCCCAGAAATGATTTTTCTAAAAATGCAAATTTTATGCTAGTTTCCTGAAGAAAGGATTTTAATCTGAACTTTTCAGTGCCTAAAAGACACAGTCCAAGCTCTTCTGTGGAGCCTTTCCTTCTATACCTCTCTTCCAAACGTGAATTACATTCCCTCTGTTTTCTCTTATTGTATATGTGTGCTGAATGAAACACATGTCCTTATGTATGAATGGGAGGGAATCATCTTTGTCTTCCTATACCTAGGAAGTTGTAAGGAAGGCAGGAGAAAGGAGAGACAGGGAGAGGAGTTAGAATACTATGATGTTAGTCCTAGCAACAAGGTAGTATTGATCAGAAGGGTTCAGCAAAAGGTAACGTGGGAAAGAATTTGTCAACTTGCCATTGCCCAGAGGCATCATCTTCAAACTTCTTGATCATGGAGCCCTCTCCATAAGGAAATTTGAGTACAGGCCCCTGATATATGCATGGTGATTTATAAATTACATACATGAAGTGATGTACTAATATATATTATGAAACACAAATCAAAGGATGGGGCAAAAAATTATAAAAATGGATTCTAATATGTTCTTCAGATCTCAGTAGATGAGTGCATTCTCTGGAGGTCACTGATCTGAAGGATAGATCCCAAACTTACTGGAGCATAAAAGATCTTTTATGACCTGACCTCTAGCCATCCTTCCAGCCCATCTGTAACCAGTACCAGCTACCTCTGTACTCTCCTTTAACCCTCTTCAGCTTCCAAATTAACTTATTTTTCAATGCTTTATGAAGTAAGATCCAGTATTTATTTTATATCTCTGTGTTTTTGCATCTGCTTGGTGTGGCCACTGTCTGCATGGCAAACTCCTATCGACACTTCAGTTCTTGCTCCAATATTATCTCTTCTGAAGCCTTCCCCAACATCCCCAGCACCATTACCAGAGTTGTGAAAGATGTTGCAGGGACACAGGCAAGGGGCTGTGGCTGAAAACCATGAATCAAAATGACTAAAGGTGTGGAAATTGTTAAGAGAATACTGGAACTTAGACACATAAATGGTTAAATATGAGATGGGACTGGCAAGTTTAAAGAAGTGACACTTTCATTCTGTTTTTGTTGGTGTAAAGCAATTAAACAATTTATTTCATAACTAAAGTAATATATGTATGATAATTTGGAAGAGTTTTTACCTGAATTATATAATTCTATTTTAAACTTTTAATTATGAAACATTTCAAAAACACTATCAGGCAAAAAATAATACATAACAAACATCTATGTACCCACCACTAGAATTAAGTAGATATTAACATTTTGCCTTGTTTCAGGGTTTTTTTTCCCTGTTAAAAGAGAATTAAGTTACAGTTATAGTTAAAACGTTACCCCCTCAATCCTTTCTCTCTCTCCTCAGAGGCAACCACTGTAGAAAGGATTTTGTTAGCCACTTTTTCTGGAAAATATATGCAGGGAGCCAAAGGTAAATTTCTTCCGGTGGTATAAAAAAGGCGTAATCAGCAGGAGAGAGAAAATGGATTCTGTATTAGTGTAAACCAATTCATTAATGTATATATGAGATGATGATTGGTTTAGGATTTTTCTTTTGCCAGAGGAGGCTTTAGAATAGGGAGACATGAATTCCAATTTCAACTACTATTTACTGGTAGCTGTACTTAGGTCTGGTCTTGGTTTCATCTTCTGTGAAAGGATAAAAACGCATGTCGTGCATAATTTTTGTAAGACTAAAAGTAAGTTTTCAAAACACACACACACCTGGGTGCCTGGCTGGCTCAATTGGAAGAGTGGGCAGCTCTTGATCTTGGATCATGAATTTGAGCCCCACGGTTGGATGTAGAGATTACTTAAATAAACTTTAAACACACACACACGTATATTTGTGGCACAAGGTAAATGCTTTAAATGTAGTATCAATTATTATTACCAATTTAATTTTGTTTGGAATTCAAACTAGTCATGCTGGTTAGACTACAGTATTTTCCCAACCCTTTCATTTTGTTTAGTACTTTGGGGCAAACCAACAGAGCTTTTTGGGACTGGCTTGCTATACCTACTTCAAGGGCTCCAGATGGCCCAGGCCATTCCACGGGTTAAGGGGATTGATGGGTGTGGTCAGCAGGCATGCCGGTCAGGAAACTGCATCAGAGGATCAGGCTAGTAGTAGAACTTGGTGGACTAGCTACCTTTTTACTGTCCTTTGTGTGGTTAGAGACTACACCCAGTCTGTGGAAAAGCTGCCTCACAAGCATGTGCCATTAGTGAAGAAAGGAACTCAGTGAAAAGAGATAGATTTGCCTCGCCTTTATTAGAAAAAGACCTTCCTTTTGATCAAGTAGCATTATCTTCCTGGAACAATACAATGAAAGTCCTGAAAGTGGAATTGTTGTTCCTAGGAAAGAACAAACTCTGGGTAGTACTTTACCATTTACAAAGGCTTTTGAGTGCATTTGTCGCATTGTGCACCCTTACAACAACCCTGTGAGGGGGCTCAAAGATTGAGAGAGGTATCTAATACCACATGGCTGATAAAAGGTCATTGAAGCTTAAATACAGGTTTTCTAATTCAGTGTTCTTTCTCCAATTCAGTGTTCTTTCCAATTCTTTCAGAATTCAATATCTCAGAATTCTGTTTTACTATACTGCTGTATTTTTTCCCTACCATGAGCTGAGGAACTTAAAATTTTCACTAGTTTTCAGTTCATAACTACATGCTTTAAAACCTAAGTTAAAATATACAAAAATCACACAGCTACCTGTAGATCTGTCCCCAGGACAAATCAAGGAAGAAGGTGCAGAAAGAGTAGTTTTGTGATTTTCATTATATCAGTTTCATAGTTTTTTTTTCCTCACAATTTCTAAACATAGTAATTTGGGCTTAAAAATAGAGACCTCCAAGGTAATTTTTATATTCAAGGCTGGGAAAAAGTGGTGCCTTTCAAAAAAAGAGGAAAACTGAGTATGGGAAGTGTACTTGTTATCTACTGCTCAGTAACAAATTTTTTTAAAAATGCAGTGTGCAAACATCTCACATGAATTCTGAGGGCAGGAATTCAGGAGTGGATTAACTGGGTGTTACAGGGTTTTTCATAAGGTTGCAGTAAGATGTTAGCCAATACCAGAATCTTCTGAACACTTGGTGAGGCTGAAGGG